AGTCAAAGGAATGGTATGCAACTGAACGATCAGATTACATATATACTTTATAGTTTGCAGATGATCAGGTGGTGATCTCAAATGACAAAGACGACATGGATTACATGCTTAGAAAACTAATTAAAGAATACCAAAAATGAGGAATAAATATCAATTTAGAAAAGACAAAATACCTCTCAATTGGAGCTGAAGCAGAACAACTCGATATCGATGATAATCAAAAAATAAATCCATGTGACGAATATAAATACCTGGGGCGTCATCTTCGACTGTAGTGGAAAAGACGAACAAGAAATAGAACATCGAATTGTACAAGCACGAAGAGCTATAGCATGTTTGAACGGAATTCTGTGGAGTAAAGAAATATCAAAGAAAAGAAAATGGAACATCTATGAGACAATGGTTAAAACTAGCCTACTTTATGGAGCTGAGACATGGAGAATAACCGAGAAATATAAGAAAAAAGGTCGAAGCCACGAAATGGATGCCATCAGAAGATCGATGAGAATATCAAGAGCCGACAGAATATGGAATAAAGTGATAAAACAACAAATGGTATAGAGGGCACTATAGTTGAGGATATTGAGAGAAAACAGCTCATATGGTATGGGCATGTGAGCCGAATGAGAGACGAAAGATTGCCTAAAAAAACGATGTTTTTTTTTCTCCCAGACAAAAGAAAACGAGGAAGATCACCACAGAGCTGAAACCTGGGAGTTAGGAAAGCGATTAGCGCTCGAAATCTGGACGAAGACCTAACTCAAGACAGAATACAGTGGCGTTTGGGAGTCAAACAACGTCGTAAGATGTTATAAAACCGAATATATATATATATATATATATTATATATATATATATATATCTTAATACAATTACTATTTTTATTGGAAATAAGCCACAATTTAAGTTTAAAATCAGTTTATTTTTGTCGTTTCGATTAACACTTCAACCTCAAAAAGATATCAACGAAGATCGCTGGGAATGAAATGTTAGAAAACGATTAAATCGAGGAAAGCTGGGAAAAAATCAAAAATACCATAATTAACCCAGCAACAGAATAAGCAGAAGTGAGGAAAGTAACGAACACTAACACATCAAAAAATAAAACACCATGGTTAATAGTGGAAGTGAAGACAAAATGTGAAGAAAAGACGAAAACCTTTTCACAATACGTGAAACAGAACAAAAACAACAGGCATATAACCACTATACACGAATCAGAAATAAAAAAAGTACTTAAGTTAGACAAATAAAAAGGGAACACTGGCAAAGCTTCTCAAAACAGATGGAACACGACTTCTACGGAGCACACAAAGGAATATGGAGAATGATCAGAGGACAAAGAACAGAGATAAACGAACTATCAAAAACGAAACCCATTCAGAAGGAAACATGGGTAGACTGCTTGCGATTCCTATTTGCTAAAGGTGATGATAATGAATCACCAACACCAGAGATGACGACAAACAAAGAAATAAATATTGGGGAGGAAGAGGTAAAGAAAACATTAAGGAAATTAAAAAATAAAATCACCAGAAGAGTACAGAATGCCGAACGAACTCCTAAAGTACGGAGAACCAGATATGACCAAAATAACTATTGAAAATAATCCCAAAAACAATAAAACCAAACAGAATTCCTTAAGAATGGAGATTAATTATCCTAATACATCTATTCAAAAAGGAAGACAATTCGGACACGGAAAATTACAGATGAATTAATTTATTAAACACACACTAAAATTTAGAACCAAAGTGATAACAAATAAACTGAATAAAATCATAACAGTAGCAGAAGAACAAAAAGGTTTTATGTTGGGACAATCATGCACCAAAGCTATATTTATAATAAAGAAAGTACAAGAGAAATCATTAGAATACAACAAACCGGCATATCTATGTTTCGTGGCGAAGAGAATATCTACCAAAACAACACAATAAGGTAAAAGGTAAAAGTATAAGAAGAAATAACCGACCCAATTGAAGTTGGCAATGAGATAAGACAGGGAAGTTCTCTGAGTCCTCTATTGTTCAACCTGAACTGAAGATACTAAAGGAATATTACTTGGAGTTAAAGTAGTAATTAATTTTGTGAAATACCTGCCCAAGACATCTAGAAATTTTTTTCTAGATATTTTGGACAGATGATATATCTGAAACAAAAAAATTAAAGGTGACAGGAACTGTAAGTGAAAATCGTGTGCAAAAATATCTAGTAATAAAGTCTAAGCTAATGAAGAAAATGGCAAGAGGTACATATGATTAAGTATAGATTTGATAGAACTAATGAAATTTTGAGTGTAAAATGTTCTGACAATAGTCATTGTTCTATATTATCCAATTATGACACCATTCAACCACTAGGTCACGTAAAAGGTGGTTCAGGGCATCAAAATCAAAAGAAAATGTAGTACAGTCAAAATTGTTCGCTTCCAACAAATCTGAAATGATTGCAGTAGATGCGCATAATTTAGTGCATATCATTATATCGAATAAGTATAAAAGGTAAAAAGTGTTGAACAGTTTTATTTACGTACTTTCTTGTCATGATCGTGACTAATGCCTGAAAACTTTGTAACGATTATTTTTTGCCTATCACTTAGGGTATTATTATAGGGGTTGAAAATTTGGAACAGAAATTATTGGGGTGGAGATAGGGCAAGCAAAAGAAAAGAAACTGTTGTGAATGGCTACTCAGGGTTAATTTGGAGGAGACCTAGATCGTGGTTAAGTGAATAATGAGGGGACTGAAATGCAGTAACTACAAAAAATGAAACAAAAGGGTACTTACATGAGTCTCCTGGACAAACAAAACACAAGAAGGTTCTCAAGCTATTTAAAATAAGGACGCCGCTTTAAAAAAATCTTCCTGTTGGATGAAAGAAAATTTCACTGGAATGGATTTCACTAAAATTTCTTTAAAATTTCTGAAGTTAGGAACTGGACTTACTAATATTTCTGAGGGTGGAACTGGAGTTAGATTCACTGTCATACGAACAAATTCATCTCCAAACTGCGAAAAATAAGGCTGGCAGTTGGGTACTGGACGTAAACTTTGGAAATTCGACTCCTTAAAAACTCAACCATAGCAACATGTGGTTATCCTTTAAAGTTGTAGAACAACGCCGTTTTGCAAATATCACAGATAAGAGATGGCATAGAAATAAAATCAGTGATTACTCTTTCAGAACTGACACATTACATTGGGTATAAATCACTTTTTCTAACAAATTTGCCGGTTCAAACAAACACACGCTGCTGTCTGCTCTGCATGACCTCTCTTTCAAACCTGACTTCACTTTGACCTGACGCCTCGTACCGGCATCAAGTGTTGCGTCTCACCCCCCATACCCGGTCAAGGAACTAGCAAACCGGAATTATTTTCAAACACGCTTCACATCGCATCATAACTAACCTTCAATCATTGCTTGCTTTTAAAATTCTAGAACTAAGACGTAATATTTAAATTATTTTATTACACAGTTTTCTTAAATGCGTCTCTAACACGTTTTTGTAAACAATTTTTAAAACACCAGGAGTGTATCAGATCAAGTTTATACTTTGAATATTCGATAGTTAAGGAATTTATACATGCTACAACTTCATCAAATTTCAATCAGTTTGAATTTCATTGTCATATCTTCTTCTTCTTCACGTGCCATCTCCACGATGGTGGTTGGCAATCATCATGGCTATTCTGATCTTAGATGCTGCTGCTCTGAATAGTTCAACTGATGTGCATGCGTCATATAGTACGTAGTTATTTAAAAGATGGTGTCACTTTAAGTCACTTTTATTTTCCTGGAAAACTGATAAAACCGTTTAGGTGTTCTATGTATCATATGAAGGCAAGATGGACATGCAAATAGTGTGAAAAACAATGTGCATTGAAAAATAATGTTTCGAAAAATACTATATAAATACCTATCCCCATTGGGGTATATGTACAACTGGTATGTATCATTTAGCCTAATTACAGCCGCGTTTTTGATTTTTCTCTTTTTACCGTCTGTTTCTTTTAGGACTATACTTGAATCATTTCATCGAACTCTATGTTCATTTTACCATGCGTGTTTACATATTTGAAATCTATCAAATTCTCTATTATTAATATAAGATTGGTATTCACTTATTCTATCATTTAATGATCTTGATGTTTCACCTAAATACAAATGATCTCATTCACATGGTATTTTATAAATACAATTCTTTGTTCTTTTCTGTTTAGTTTAAGGTTAGGTAAAATAGATTTTAACGTGTATGTTGTTTTCAACGTTGCTGAAATGTTGAATTTATTTCATACACTTTTCAGTTTTTCTAAAAAATAATTTTATGTATGGTATTGTTATTTTCTTCGTATTATTTCTTGTGTATGCTGTAGAATCACGTTCTAAGTTAATTTGTTCCATTTAGCCAATCCTTGAAAATTTTTGGTTTATAAACGATAAAGAATACTCATTAAAAAAAGACAGATGTTAACAAATTTCTCCAGTAACAACGAATTTTATCTCTATAAAGATATTGCCACAACGACTTTGTTATTTAATGTGTGTGAATGCTGTATGTGAGAGAAAAGATGGCTTAAATGCAGATCCGTTATCCACAGATTTTTATTTATTTTTTACAGTGATCTATTAATTTTATTAGAATGTAGGAGCTAGATCATAACACTAAGTAATAACTGTAGAAATTTTGGTATAAAGAGAGAAATGTAACAAAAATTTATGATAGATACACAGATAAATGAAAAATTAAGACAACTAACTCAATATTTACTTGATTAATGAGAAAATAAAATAATAGAGATTAAAATGCAAGCAACATCTAAATGAAATGGATAGAAGTCGACTGACTTAATATGTTTTGAAAATCAGACCGAAAGGAAGAAGAAGTGTAGAATGGATAAGTCAACAAAAGTCCTAAAATGAAGAAGACTATTTATAAATGAATGATTTTTATTAGTCGAAATTTAGTCAAAAAATATTTTGACGTTTAATAATTTGACATTTGTTGAAGTATATTATATTATTCATATCGTACAGAAAAGAAATTAAAAATGATATTCAGAGTTGCTACAAAAGGTATAAAGGTATGTTAAAATTGTTATTTACTGACAAACTGTACATTTTTGTCTGATTTTTATTTTTATTTTTTTTCCGATGAGATAATATCTTTTTTAATTTCTACTAGAACTGTCTAGTAAAACTTTGCCACATGTATATAAATATATTTTAACGAAGTACTAAACACAAATTTTATATTTGATTTCTTCTTTCAATAAATTCCAAAAGAACTATTTACCAATTCGTTTTGATTTTTCTTTACCTTTTTTTCTCCTATGTAATACTTATTTGGTCTCATTTTATTATGTAATATGTACAGCTGGTTCTTAAAAAATTGATACGACTCTTAAATCATATTTTAGAGAAAATAGAGCAGTGTATTTTAAAGAATAGATACGTATTATTTACATATTGTCACTGACACTGCCAAATCTTAAAATTTATTAGATAACATGTTCTGTTCAACGTCAAAAATGGCTCCACATGCTAGCAAAGAACTAAAACCAATAATTAAAATGAAATTAGAAGATGACTGCCAATGTATGTTGGATTTCATTTAGAGGAATGGAAATTATATGGCGTATTAATGGCATGTTTGTTGGGCAGACTTATCTGAATATTCTAGAAAACATCATATTTTCCAGTGTAGAACAGTTGTATCTAGAAAATATATTTTTCCTCCAACAAGACAATTGTACTATTTTACAGTGCAAATATAATAAACCAGTGGCTGCAGAATAACAACATCGAAAGTTTACCATGGCCCAGCTACAGTCCAGATTTAAACCCAATTGATAATGTGTGGGGGTTTTTATAAAACGTTTGTATCGGCGTAATTTTATACCTTAAAATGCTGAGGAGCTGTGGCACGGTATGCAACAGGTTTGGGAAGAGCTCTCTGAAGATGACAATTTCATAGTTTCTTTTGCTCAGATGGACCGAAGAGTACAAGCTTTTATCAATGCTGGTGGCTTAGTATAGTTTTAGTCTTCCAGACCCTCGCTTTTTTTCAAGAGTTTCTTGTTTCGTCCATTTTGTATACAAAAAATGTGGTTCTGCTCATGTTAAAATGTTTTGCTGCCTCTGATAGTACCCAGTTATATTTTAATTTGATTACAATTCTTGCTTTAATGTATTGTTGAGTTAGGTCATTTATTTTATTCCTTAATAATAATAAAAATAGTAACAACAACCCTGTTTTATGTAAAGACTATCATTTATATACTCTTTATAAAATGCAGGAATTCAAAATAATATCAAAATGTACACCTTAATAACTATTACAATTCATGAAATAACATATGTAATCAATTGTTTGTTGTTTGTTTGGTGTATATATCAAACCAGCTGTATATATTAGCACCTTTTTCACTATTTTTATGTCGTAATCTTGGTATAGGGTCAAAAATTTAGGCAAACAGATAATGATATGACTATGTGTATGGTGTCCTAACATAAACAAATAAAATTCTCCTGATAGCGTTTGGAAAAACACAAAAGCAGGTCGATTTGTATGTTGCACCTATAATTTGTTTTTAGTATATTTATCAAAATAATGACGGCATAACTATTTAAATAGGATATCTGTAATATATTGATAACTAGTGGGTATCCACGTTACATGTAGGCCGTCAATGGCAAAAGAAAATATGACGTCTGTCTATGACGTCTGTCTGTCATTGCATGTAGGACATAATCATTATTTATAAAAGCATGTATGCATAGACCATAGATGTATAATATAAATAGGCTTTTTGCTTCAATACTATCGCATTTCCCCAGTGCGAGAGAGAAAATTGTCGCAGAGCAGTCTCTACAACTCTTTCCAATCTGCCAGGTTTATCGGCCACGTCACCTAAGTAACCAATGAGAAGGTCACGTGGTTGATAAATCTAGCCCTTCAGAAGTTTATACATGTTTTTTTTATTATCGAGATGGTATTGTAACGATCAGTCTATCTTATGTACATGTGGTCACATGTTATTCTCTCGGACATACAAGTCTATATAATATTTTTCTCAGTTCCTTGCATTGTCTTAATGCCCTATAATCAAAAAAATTTTTCCATACCTGTATATATGTTTTGCTTAATTTAGCTTTTTTTGTTGCAGACCTTAAATTTACATAATCTTGTGCGTCCTTGTTATTACCAGCTCCGAAACCTAAATGTGCAAGAGCATGTTAGTTACACACTACTTAGAGAGGCAGGAATACCAGTGCCTAAATTCGGTGTAGCAAAAACCAAACAGGAAGCTAAAGAAATTGCCAAAAAGCTTAATACAAAAGATCTTGTAGTAAAAGCACAGGTTTTAGCTGGAGGACGAGGAAAAGGAACGTTTAAAAATGGATTTAAGAGCGGAGTGCGTATGGCTTTTACGTAAGTTTTTTTTTCTGCTTAAACTTAGTGTCTTAGAATTCTTTAAAAAGTGACATTATTTCCTTTTCTGCTTATCTTGTTTTTGGTCTCGTTAACAACAAACAGTATAATTTAAAAAATATTCCTAAAATAACACCGTTCATAATTGTCAATAACGGATTGGTCTTCTCATTCTTAATTTTTAAACACCGCGTTGGTCAATGAATTAACGGACTGTGGAAGCTTTTAATCTGAATCTAACGAAAAAATTTAGTTGAATAGTTTACTCATAACAACACGGCAATTCACAATCATCAACAGCTATTCCATCCATCTTCGGATGTGAGCCTCCCTTAGTTATATACATTCATTTCTGTTACTTATTTTTTGCATCTATTTGTAACTAGCCATTCGCTTGATGTCATCAGTCTATTTGGTTTGGTGGTGGTCCATACTTCTCTTGTTTGCTGTTGGTCTCATTCAATAATTTGCTTTGTCCAACGATTGCCTGTGTCCTGCCCAGTTATATTTTATCATGGCAATCTTTTGAATTGCATCTGGCAATTATTACATTACATTCACATTACATTTTGGAAATTAGCTAAAAATATACCGAAGATTTGCATATTACAAAGGCAATTACAATCTATAATATGTGTAGGTTTCTTCTTCTTCTTCTTTCAGTTCCCTGTCTGATTATCGAACGTTGGCGATCATATTGGCAATAATAATAAAGTAATTACGGCGACTCTAAATAAATTAGCGGTGGTTTCTTGATACCATTCTCGGAGATCTGTATTATGAGGTGTAGAGGGTTATAACTCTCTGGATGTCTCATTATATGACCGAAATATTGTAACTTTCAAATTTTTATCGTTTTTGTTATTTTTGTGTTTTTTCATTCGATGTGAAACTATTTTAAAGAGAAAAATGAGACAATATTCTTCTCATAAAGTTAAATGAATCGGAAGAATATTATACGAAACTGCTGAAAGAGGATAGAGTAGAGTACAGATGGGACAAGATAAGGGAATTAATAGATAACAGAGACGAAAGACAGGAAATCCCTATACTTAATAACATTATCTGAGTTGACGGAAACCTTAAAAGAGGTTGAAAACAGAAAAGCCGCAGGGCCTGGAGACATTCCCATAGAGCTGGTTAAATATGGGCCGACTGCAATTTTAGAATTAATAGTAGACCTTTTTAATAAATGTATGTGTGGAGACCAGGGAATTCCTAAAGATTGGAATAAATCTTATATAAGCTCCATATAAAAGAGAGGGAATAAAAGAGACTGTTCCAATTATAGAGGTATTAGTGTGACGAGCTCTGTGGGCCGGTTGTACGGCAGAATATTAAAGAAGAGAGTTAAAAGACAGATACAAGATATTGAAGAACAAAGCGGCTTTCGTACCGGGAGATCCTGCCTTGATAATACATTTATCCTACGACAAATAATTGAAAAGCGTGTCGAAAGAAGTAGAGAGACCCATTTGATATTTATAGACCTTAAGAAAGCATATAAGAGTGTCCCGTTAAAGAAAATGTTTGAGGTCCTCGAAAGGTCCGGATTGGATTCGACGTATATCCGAGCGATATATAAATTTTACGAAAATGCAGTTAGTTGTGTAAAAATTGGAACCAGAAAATCAAATGAATTTAAAGTTACCAAAGACCCAAAGCAAGGATGCTGTTTGTCACCTATACTCTTTAAAATATACGTCCAAGAAGCATTGAGGAATTGGAGAAATAAATGTAGATTTATGGGCATCGAAGTGGGACAACAAACTCTGTGTACATTGTTGTTTGCAGATGATCAGGTGGTGATTGCAACCGATGAGGAAGATATAAATTATATGAATCGAAAATTATTTGAGGAATATGCCAAATGGGGGCTTACTGTAAACATAAGCAAAACAGAATATTAAAAAATTGGACGAAATATCACAGATCTGAGGCTTGAAAACGCAGTCATAAAAGGTTGCAACCAGTATAAATATCTAAGAAGCATCATATCAGCAGATGGCAGAGTTAAGATAGATGTACAAAACCGAATAACCCAAGAAAAAACATCCATCCAAATACTGAATTCATTACTGTGGTCTAATAAAATAAAGATGCATACCAAACTTTGTGTATACAGAGCAATTGTAGAACCGATTACCACATATGGTGCCGAATGTTGGACGATGACAAAGAATGAACGAAATAAAGTAGACGTTGTGGAAATGGATTATCTTAAAAGGTCATGTCAAGTATCGAGAATGGAAAGAATCAGGAATGAGGAAATACGAAACCGTACAGGAATTAGAGAGACTTTTTCAGATAGAATACAAGGAAGGCAATTACAATGGTGTGGTCACGTGATGAGAATGGAGGAGGAGCGGTGGCCAAAGAAAGCCTTAATGTATGTTCCGCCAGAAAGAAGGAAAAGGGGAAGACCCCAAAATTCCTGGAGAAGAGAAATTACAAAAACAATGCAATCTAGAGGCTTAGAAGAGGGAGATTGGAGAGATAGTAAAAGATGGAGGCTGAAATGTGGGAAGCGGCAATCGCTGTAGGACCCCCGTTATATGATGATGATGTAAAACTATTTCATTTCTTATTCGATCAACCCAACTTATCCGCCATACTCGTCAATAAATCCACATCTCAAAGGCCTCTAATTTTTTCATTAATGTCTCTGTAAAGGTCCAGCTCTTCATACCATACAGCAATGTAGAGAATATGTAGCAGCGTATTAATCTGATTTTAAGTTTAAACGTAATCTCCCTATTAATTAGAATTTTTTTTAATTTATAGAAGGCGGCTCTGATTTATGTAAAGGTTTGCGTATTTTTTCAAAATTGATATTATAAATAGATAAATAATTGGTAATGTTTAACCATTCTCTTAAATATCTTCTAATTTCCTATTGATCCACTCCCATTCACTTCATTTTCATTTTTAGACCAGAAGAAGTAGAAGACATTGCAGGAAAAATGTTGGGTCAATACTTGGTGACCAAACAAACTGGCGAGAAAGGAAGGATTTGTAATTTAGTCATGGTGACTGAACGTAAATTTCCTAGAAAAGAATTCTATTTTGCCGTAATGATGGAGCGTTCGTTTAATGTAAGTATCTTGTTTTACTTTTATTAACAAAAGTTGACTTTTTCCTCTTCTTCCTTAGCGTTTCCCTTTTTAGGGGTCCCTGTTCTTTTTCATTTCACATTTCAGCTATAACCCCCTCTGTGGCTCAGTGGTAAGAGCGCCTGCCTTTAAATCTAAAGGTCGTGAGTTCGAATCCCACCTGGGTGGAAATTTTCGTTTATTAAAAAAATTAATAAATGAAAATAATTTCTATCCTTGTGTGATCGGTACACACCGGAGGGACCGCAGACGTTCGGATACAATTAGCGTCTCTTAGCAAAGACAATGACGTCGACTTTGCTAAGTATCAAGACAATTACTCTACACACACACACACAAACACACACACACACACTACATTAATAAACTTATCTTGATTGAGACTGGCTGAATGACAATTGTCCAAGCCAAAACACACAAAAAAAAAAAAAAAAAAAAAAAAAAAAAAAAACATTTCAGCTACCTCTATCTTCTTTTCCTTAATATTCTTTACGGGCCACACTGCACCGCCATACACCAACGCATGTCTCACAACACTCTTGTATTTCTTTCTTTTAAGCCCGATTTTTTGATCACAGAGTACCTTGCTTCTCGCTTTTAGTTAAATTTACCAGCCTGTATCCTGTGGGCAACTTCTCGATTTAGTGCCTTATTTTCCAAGTGGCAAGTTATTTAAATTTTCCTACTTGTTCTAGGTTTTCTCAAAGCAATTCTATGTCCTCAACCATTCTTCTTCCTTCCAAATACATCTGTTTTTAATTGATATAAGGTTGAAAGCTCGAGTAAATGAACTTAAGGCAAATATCGAGCACAAATTTAATAATCAAATCTTGCCCAAGTACTTTCGCTTTCTACAGCATCATTAGGGATATTTCGTCAAATTTGGGCTATCCAGCAAGCGCAGAATGTAATAAACATGAAATTGGACATAAATTATACATAACACTACATTAAAACAGGACAAACAGTTTAAAATTATTAAAAATTATTCTACGCTCTACATTCTTGTCGGCAACAGGAGAGAGAATGAGCATTTGTCCTATTTTAATGTAGTGTTATGTACAATTTATGTCCAGTTTCATGTTTATAACATTCTGCGCTTGCTGAATAGCTTAAATTTGACGAAATGCCCCTGACGATTCTGTAGAAAGCGAAAGTACTTGGGCAAGGATTGATTATTAAATTTGTGCTCGATATTTGCCTAAATTTTTCAATGTACATTTGATTTTGACCTGCTAACCTTAAGTCTTTCAACTTCAGTACTCTTCTCTTACCCCTACGTCTCCTCCAACATGTTTCTCAATTATATAATAAGCAAAAAGCATTGACCAAGGAGCCTCCAATATTTTCCCTGTCGGTACATCCGTAACGAGATACAATAGATTAGGAATCAGTGAAGATCCATGATGCAAACCAATGGTCACTGGAAAATTTTGGGTCAATCCGACACAAATCCTTACTTTGGTGTACATTCCGTTATACATATCCTTTACAATCCTTATGCGTACTTCTCAGGAACCTCTTACTCTCTCATACATCTTTATAGGTCTTTTCTAGTTACAATCCCAAATAATTTCTTTATTTTTATACAATGATACCATCACATTCTCTCTATGCATTGGGCATCCTTTTTTCCTCATATATCATTTGCCACAAAACATCAACCCGTCCTCTCCTAGAACCTTCCAAATCTCCACAGGTATGCCGTCAGGTCCTACTGCCTCACCATTCTTCATCATATTTACCGCGTCGACAACCTTATCTCACGCTATCTTCGGTGTTACATTTTCATTTTAGAACCTGTATCCTCTGTCTTTCCTCTGATGTTTATCATTTAGCAACTTACTAAAGTACTTATATCATCTTTGCTTTATTACAACATCAGTTCTTAACATTTTTTCATCCACACTCTTAATATGACGCATTAGGGTCAAGTTGTTTTATTCTTCATACAGTTGTGCAGACGATCCTTCCTTAGCAGTAGCTGTACCGCGCTTTGCTTCCCTCTTTGCTACTTGTAGATATCCTTATCTTCTTTTCTTTTAGACTTGTCATGCTTTTTTTTTTCTTTATAAAATTCTGTTGCACTTCATCGTTTCATTGCCAAGTTTCTTTGTCTCTAGGAGGTAGGAAGCACTTTCCCAGATGTTTCTCCTAGCAGTTCTTCCACAACTTTACTGTTGGCTTCCCAGCAGTCATTTGCCGTAACTTTGCCCTCAAGCTCTTTCAGTACTGTACTTTTGAAGACTCTTGCCAAATCCTAATCCTTTAACTTCCACCACTTTACTTTCTGATGTCCTGATATAAACAATCGTTGGCGATTTTCTCAGAACTGAGAATGAAAATTAAAATAAAATTGCGGTAAGACGGACATAAACAAAGAGCAATTGAAAATGCGTAATCTAAGAAGGCCATGGAATCGCTTATTTTTACTGATGGATACTACCATGGTGATATGTACCACACTAACCATAGTAAATGACGTGACTTTACGGTTTGACATTGTCAATGTAATATTAGTAATAATGTAAACAAGTACATATATTTATTACATATCTAAGTAAATATGTAGCTATCTTCTAATTTGATAATATCCTCTGCGATTAATTGGATTATTAGTTACGTCTTAAAAATGTTTCTATCAACTATTATTTCTATCAATCTATATATCCGACAGAGTTTAATAACTTGTTGTTTAAACTCTTTGGTATTCTCATTTTTCAGACGTCACTATATTCATAGAGCTCATTTCTCTTTTGAGTTTGGTTTATTTAACTTTTTTACAAAAATTATATTTTTTTAACTTTAATATAACTAGTATATTTTAGTTTTTTTTAACTCTTTAGGGACCAGTTCTGATAGCCTCTTCCCAGGGAGGAGTAGACATTGAAGAAGTGGCGGCCGAAAATCCCAAAGCGATCGTTTATGAACCGATTGATCCGGTTGTAGGACTAAAAAAGCAACAAGCTGAAAAAATGATCAACACTGTTGGAATTCTTAATCAAAAAGACCGCATTACCGATATTCTGTTGAAAATGTACGACCTTTTTGTGAAAAAAGACGCGTTGTTGATAGAAATCAATCCGTTTGCTGAGGACACTCAAGGTTCATGTAAGATATTTCAATTTTCTTATATACCTAATTATAAAAATTTTTAGAAGAAGTATTTAATTTCTTATTTTAAAAATACTTTCTATATATGAAATTATGACACTATTTAAAAAATATAAATGGATATAGGGAACGATTATTTTGCTCAACAATAAACATGTGTAGAATTAAAAAATAATGTTGGTCAAACATGCAAAAAAATAAGGCTACGCCTCTATCCAAATATATTGTACCACTTTACTGGCACATATGATATGTTGAAAAAAATAAAAAATAATAAGTGTCTCTTGTATTTATAACCATCAAGAAATATCCACACATTTTTCTACAAATAATCACGAGAGTGATCCACAACTATTGACAAATAAGTTATGTGAAGAATTTTCTGGGAAGAAAACAATTGGAATGTGAAATTTTTTGTGTTAAAAACGGTTCATTTTTATCAGTTTAAGTTATTTTCAATTTTAAACAATTTTTATATAAATATGAACAGATAAATACGTTTCCAGTAATAAAAGTCTAAAGTTTAAAATAATTTATTTAGTGAAGTTTAAACAGACATGTTGTTCCGAATTTTTCAGGAATTTTATTTCAAAGTTGCAAATTTTGTTGCAAATCCCGTCATGTCCACAAATAAAACCAATTTTATACTAAAACTGCAGCTCAAATATGTTTTCCTTTATATTTTTCTAATCAAACATTGTACTAAAATACAAGTAAATCAAACTGAAAGCTCAAAATATCGCAGGAGTAATAGTCTTTCATGTGAAAAATTGAAGCCTGAAAATTTTGATAGATTAGACTTGGCTTTGGGATCTGTCATAAAGTAGAAGATTCAGTTTGAAATGATAGATGTGGTGACTGTGAGCAAACTGAATCTAGGATGTGCAAGCTAAAGCATATGGTGGGTAGGAGAGGAGTATCTGGCAATTAGTCTGGTCTCTAATCTGAAACTATTTCTACAGCATTAAAGAGTGAGTTTCTGTATGATACCAGGGCAAGTTTCAGAGCAAGTATTTGTAATATTCTAATTGAAGGAGATTTTAGTGCGAAGTTCTCCTTATTGAACAGAAGACGGAAGAAATAGCTAAAAGAATATGTTACTATGCGACTATGAACAAGGGAAGATAAACTATCATTGGATTTGATTGTTCGAACTATACGACTGTTTCTTCTACTGTTTCACTAGATTGGTAAGGAGAGTATGAAGATATCGTAAAAGATATGTTGAACACGAGGACTGGATGACAGGAAGTCAACAACTGTGAGGGCTCTTTAGATGTGAATATCACAAAAGAGGTGTTTTTGAAGTGATTCTCGCTAATGAGAAAGGTTGAAATTTCGTGAAAAATAGAACTGCTATCCTGAAAAAAGAGACAGGAAGATGCGAGAGGAAGTAGAAGAACGTAGAAAGAATGTTGAGTAGTAAAGAAGACGTGATAAAGACCGGATGAAGAAATGAAGCGAGCATGGTACTATTACACAAGCTTGCTTTTAATTATGCACTTATCAACGAAGATCATGAATAAAAACTTTTTAATAGTTTTTTATCAGCTAAAATATTATGGTGTTTATCACCACTCATGAGAAAAATACAAGGAAGCTACATACAAACGAGAATATATGTGTGTTGTATCCTCATACGCTCTGTAGAGGGCTTCGATAGTTGTAGGTTAAGAATCCTCTACCAAGTCTATATTGGCTATTTCTTACATAACAAACGAAATACCAATATTTCATCATTCACCAATATTTAGTTGAAGTAAAAGAGTTGCAGAGTCTTTAGGTTAAAGAACGATACAGAGCTCCAGCAGAAGGGCTCTTAGAGTACAGGTAACTCTAGGAGAACCCGTGAAGGACTGACATTCCTGACCTGAAAATTGACTACATTTATACACGCGTATTGTAGCAATTTTCAGAGAATTTCAGGTCAGTCGAAGTACGCACTAGTCCAGAGACTAAAGCAATTGATGATAACAGTTAGACAAATGCACCCATTAGCAGATGTATAAAATAATAGCATTTAATTTGGTGACTTTTAGCCTTCTCCACGGCGACCTTTTCTGATCTATTGTGGTCCGAAAAACAAATGGCATAATAAAGCCCCACAGATAAGAAAAACAAGAGGTCTAAGAAAAGATCCTGAAAAATAAAACGGAGAAGCTATGTTGAAACGGGGTTTGAAAGACTGGAAATTGAACCAAAAAGATTAAGTGAAAGAAGGCAGTGGAAACTATCGTTTTTTTTAGTATACCCATGTATATATTCTAGTCCGTACCATTACTTTATATACTAACATTTAAAGTCTTTTGTTTTGTGGTAATAAATGATTTTATCATCATCATGCAACATCTTCTGTCCACAACTGGACATAGGTCTCTCCAACCATTCACCACTCTTCACGGTTCTGTGTGTCTTGTTGTCATTTCTTGAATATTAGTTTAATGTCGTTCATCCAGCGCGTTGGTGGTCGTTTTCTGCTGGGTTTGTCTTCTCTTGGGTACCATTTAATTCGTTTCCTGGTCCATCTCGAGTCTTTAAGTCTTGCTATGTGACCTGGCCAATTTCATTTCAGCTTGGCTATACGTTCAACGACATCAGTAATACCTATTCTTTTCCTTAGGTCTCGGTTCCATATTTTGTCTTTTTTGTCATGTCCAGAATCGATCTATTTATGGGGTTTTGTACCACTCGCATTTTTAGTGCTGTTGTTTTTGTGAGAGTGAGAGTTTCTGCTCCGTATGTCATAATAGGAAGAATGCATTGGTCAAGTGTCTTTCGTTTCATAGCCATCGGGATGTTGCTCTTAAAGATGTCCCTAAGTGAACCATACGCCGCCCAAGCAAGTGTCATTCGTCGTTGAAATTCACAGGTCTGATTATCCTTCTTATAATAATTTCATGACCGAGGTATATGTACTTTTCTGTCAATTCTACCACTTGATTTTGGATGGTTAGGTGTTTGCTGGAAACCAAATTTGTAATAAATTTGGTCTTACTGATGTTTATTTTTAGACCTATTGTTGAAGATATGTTTTCTAATTCATGTAACATTTTTTGTGCTTTTTAAAGCATTTTAAAGACGTATTCGAGGACCTTTATAAATAATTTAGGTTGCTTTATATGAATTTCTCTGGTGGTATAATGTAGTTTTACACGCATTGTGACGTATCGGTACAATGGAAGCCGGTGGTCTATTCTCCTATTGTTCAGAGCACTTATAATGATGTCTTATTCGATGGTATTGAAGACTTTGTGAAATTCTACGAAGATAAGTACCAGTGATCTGTTTAATTCTATACATTTTTCTATTTAAGTTTTTATTGTTTGTAGGTGATAGTTTATTTCGAATTTTGAGCGGAAGCCAGCTTGTTCTCGGGGCTGGTATAAATCCATCTTTTGTTCTAGTCCTATCGTAAACATTCAACAACGCAACAATCTGTTAGATAAAGGTTAAAAAAAATTTTATTTGGTTGAGCAGGGCACGTCCGCCCATCCTTATAGCTTCTATTATGACTCCATCTTTTCCTGGTGCTTTGTTGTTTTTCATCGTTTTCATTGCATCTTGGTTTTCGCTTAGTGTGATCTCTGACATGAGCTCTGAGCCCTAGTTTATGATTTTGTGATGCGGCTGCTTCCAAGTTCGCTTGGTCTTCTCTTTGACTTGTGTACAGTTTTTGATAGAAGTCTTCAACTATGTGTAGTAGTTCTTTTCTATTTGATATGGGGACTTCTTCTTTGTTTTTTGATTTGTGTATTTTACATTTTCCTTTGTTCGTTAGTCGTTTTCTCAGGACTATCAGCTTTTGATAGTTCTTTATTTATTTTTTGTAGTTTTTCTTTGTCAATGCTTTCGTTTACTTTGATTTCTCTTCTAGTTTTTATTAGTTGCTTCATTTCAATAGTTAGTTTTTCGTCTTGGCGTATTTTAGGGTAGCATTTTACTTGAACTTTTTTGAATAGCTTCTAGGATATTTTCGTTTAGGGTATTTAAATGATTTAATGAACTAAAATTGGTTTACTTCAGATTATTCATTAGACGCCAAATTTCTATTCGACGACAATGCCGAATTCCGCCAAAAAGAACTATTCGCTATGCGCGATTGGTCCCAGGAAGACGAAAAGGAAGTCCTAGCAGCAAAATTCGGCCTGAACTACATCGCTCTTGATGGCACGATCGGATGTATGGTAAACGGCGCAGGATTAGCCATGGCTACCATGGATTTGATAACTTTGTATGGAGGTTCCCCGGCAAATTTTCTAGATGTCGGTGGTGGTGCCGATGAACGAGCCGTAAAGGAAGCTTTTAAGATAATCACTTTGGATCCGAACGTGCAAGCGATTTTGGTGAATATTTTTGGAGGAATCATGAGATGTGACATCATTGCACAAGGTAAATATGTTTTAAATATCGAAAGGAGATATTTTTGTAAAGCTTATAAAGAAAATATTGTAGCGAACATTTTTTTTTAATTTTAATTTCTATAAACTTATGTACTCAGTGGTTTTTGTGTTCAAAAGAGACGCTTTCAGTGAATATTTTTGGACTTCAGTTTAACTCCCTTTTCTTCTTGTCTTCTTCGTGTCTGTCCATTACGGCGACTATCATTCTATCTTTACTTAGTTTGTTGCAGCGTGGAATAGCACCGTGATACTTGTTTTTTAATGAAGAGGCACCACTTATGGCCACTACAACGCCTATGACCATTTTACTATGATTAGTAGGATCATAACAGAGACGTTCCTGCAAGTGACAACAGTAGTTTCGTTGATTTTTCGCTTCGTAATAAACTTCAAATAATTGGAAAATTATAAACTAGAAAATTCAACAGAATTTCAAAAATAATCGTTTAAAATTAGTGCATACAGGTGACAGTAGTAACTAAAGGAAATACCATCAGACAAGTAAGATAGAAATATTTTACTAATTTTAACAAGTTTTGAGCAAATAAATAATTGTGTGAAAGATTAAAACACTGGTTTTGCCAAATGTTTTAAGTCCAAGGGGTCGACCCGCTTAGGCATTCCTATGCGTTTTTGTTTAGCAGATAAGCAAAAGAAAAACCACACAATTTTATTATAAAAATACAGATCCAGAAAGTTTTATTAATGTAGGAAAATGAATAGAAGTGACAAAATAACAGGATGCGAAATAGATAGAGATAAAGAAACGAAATGCAAGAGAAGAGACCAGCATGAATATTTTAGAAGTAAAATGAGAAAGCGTATACCTTCTAAAAGTGACACGAAGAGAAACTAAGACTAGAGAATCCACTCAAACAGAATAAAGAAGAAGAGTGGTAGACCATATAGACAGCCCTGTCGGTAGCAGCGGAAAAGTGTACAGGAAGAGACTATATAGAAAGACGGCAAGACTGGTTCGATGTAAAAATGCTTTGGCAAGAAGAAACAGTGCAAAACTACAAAGATATAAAGAAAATGCCCAAAATACGATCGAAAACTATGTGACAAGAAAAAGGGAAGTGAAAAGAATTTAAAGAAAAAAGAAAAGAGAACAGCTAGAAAAGTAATTAAAAAACATAAAAGAAGCCTACATGAACAAAGAAATAAATAATTTCTACCAAGAAGTTAAGAAATACAGAGAAACTACAAAGAATAATTTACAGTGTTGCAGAAACAAAGAAGGCTTACTTCTAGTCTAATAAAAATTAAAAATAAAACTAAAAAAAAACATTTATTGCCATAATATAATGAAATACATGTCAAAAATAATATCTTAGCCTTCTTCCTTCTGCGTTCCGCTCTTGCACCGCCAGCATTTGATTCTTCTTCCTCTCGGTTCCTTGATTTTCCTGGGTGGTGTCATCGTCTGCTTCTGTAGGTACTCTATCGGCAAACGTACCTACTTCCCTGCATGCCTGTCTTCTAGTCCCTGATCAGGTGGTCGATCAGTCGATGTGTGGATCGGTGTATCCGCTGGATCCTGTTCTTCTCGAGGATATCCCTGGTCTTTCGTAGTCTTCTTGTGGCCTGGTTGAAGAACCCCTGGTTCTATTCTCGGCCACCTCCCTCAGTGGCGTGTATCCTAACCTATTCCTGATGGTGGCGTTGGTAACTCTATCCTCCCATGATGTTCCGTCGATGATTCGGTAGCATGAGGTCTCAGTTGCTTCTAACTTTCTCCAGTTGGATTCCGCAATGGAGCTCCAGACTGGTAAAGCATACAGAATTACCGACCTAACATATGCTTGGTAGAGTTGTATCTTCTTCGCCTTTGATAGAGGACTGGACCTAAAAATGAAAGGAAGTATTAGTTTTTTAGCAGCATTTGCTTTTACCTTTGTTTATTGTGTATGCACCCGGAAGTTGAGTCTTCTGTCGAGGTGAACTCACTAAGTATTTGATCGTCTCTGATTCCTGAATTCTGTTGCCTCCTACTGTGATCTCGTTCTGGGGTGGTTGTTTTTCTTGGGTGAATATGATGAACTGCGTCTTTTCTGCGTTGATTTTGATTTTCCATTTTTCCGTGAAGTCCGTGATTTTTTCTAAGTGGTATTCCATGTCATCTATGATTCTTCTTTCGCCTTTTCCGGATGCATACACTGCTGTGTCGTCTGCATACAGGGTTGTAGAAGTCCTAGGATCTGTTGGAAGGTCTGAAACAAAAATGTTATATAATATGGGTGATAAAATGCTGCCCTGAGGCATTCCTTCCTGGATTTGTTGGATCGTTGACATCTTTTGGTCAGCTGAAACTTGAAAAGTTCTATTAGATAGATAAATATCCCAAATATTAATTAAATAGTACGGAAGTCTAGCCTTGTCCATCTTGTAGATTAATGCCTTCTTCCAAACCGTGTCGTATGCTTTTTCTATGTCCAGTATGGCTAATCCTGTCTTTTCTTTCTTGTTGAATTTTATTTTCGCATCGCTGATTATTCTTGCTAGTTGAAGTTCGCAGTTTCTTCCTTTTCTGAATCCAAACTGGTCTTCTTGGATAATTCCTCTTCTTTCTGTGTGTTTCACCAGTCTCTTGTAGATGATTTTTTCCAAAATTTTTCCCATCGATTCCAGGAGTGATATGGGTCTGTAGCTTTCTGGTCTTCTTCCATCTTTCCTCGGCTTCAGAAGGGTATGATTTTGGCGTGTTTCCAGTTGTTCGAAAAATGTCCGTTTTCTAGGCAATTTTTGAAGATATAGTACAGCTGTACTATGATCTTCTTCGGGAGTTCCTTGAGGGTGATGTTGTGGATTCCTTCTTGTCCTGGTGCTCTGCTTCCTTTCAGCTTCCTGATGATTTTTGCAACTTTGCCTGGCTGGTATGGTCTTCTCGTCTATTTGGAACTCGTTCCTTCTTCTGATCCTGTTGTTTTCTTCTTCGACTTGCCTCCTTGTTCTTGCATCCGACATATCCTGGTTTTGTCTGTGTGTGGCTGCCATCTTCCTTAATATTGCATCTACTTTTCCTTGGGTATCGTAGTATGTTCCCTCGATGTCCATGATTTGTGGCATCTTTTGTTTCCCTCTTCTTCTTGCCTTCAACATTTTCCAAACGTTTCCATGGTTTTCTTCAGCTCTTCTGATGTTGTTGTGCCATTGATTTTCAGTAAGACTTCTCAGTCTTACTCTTATTTCTTCAGATAGGATGTCTCCGTATTCCTTGAATTCCTGTCTTCTGGTCCTTTGGAATGCTCTTCTGGCCTTGTTTCTGTCCTTGATAATGTTCTGAAGTTCTGTTGGGATGAAGCTCTGTTGTTCGTCATGGATTTTGGAATGTTGGCTATCAAGGCACGTTGAATTCTTCTTGTGATTTCTTTTATTTTTTCTTCTACTTCTTTGATTGATTGGAACTCTCTTTTCATTTCCATTTGGTTGAGCTGTATTCTGTAGTTAGGCCAGTTAGCATCTTTTCATCTCCATCTTTCCACTGGTTCTATCCTTGGCAAGTTGACTCTTGATGTCATTCTTCCTATTACTGGTTTGTGGTACGAACTGCATTCGAAGTAGGCCCTGACGTCTTCCATTATTACATCTTTGGTGATGAAAAGATCAAGTGTTGAGTTGTTTTGTCCTCTTATTCGGTTGATTCTTGTTGGTTCATCTGGAGCGAATAACATCCTATCTCTGTCTTCACAGTACCTTAGTAGAGTTGTTCCTCGAGCTGTGTCTGTCATACATCCTCATGTTGTGTGTTTGGCGTTGAAGTCTACTGCTACGACCACGGTTGGTGCTGAGTTGAGTAAGGCATCAAGTTCTTCTATGGCTAGATTTTCCGAATGTTTCCTGTAAATTGAAAAGATATTGTTATACCTACTTTGATTCCAATATTTTTAAATTGTTGTGTTTTCATCAATACTTGATTCCATTCTATATTGTTTTTGACATAAATGGCTACTCCTCTGTCGTTTGGTTCGTCTCTTCTTCCGAATTCATCGTAGTTTGTAATCCTTGGTAGTTGGGAGTCCGTCATGTATCTTGTTTCGGACAGGCATATGACATCTGGATTATGCCTTATGTTGAACTGGAATATCTTCAGGTGTTTAAGGTTCATTATAGATGTCTTCGTATTTCATAAAAATCATTGCTTTTTCAGCTTACTTCTAGGTAAAACAACAGAAAAATTAAACAGAGGGGTGGAACATTACAAAGATATATTAAATACAGACCAATAAGAGGAACTTGAGGGCAATGAAAATTGGCAAGAAGATATAGAAGGGATGTGCGAGGAACCAATTTTAAATGAAGTCAAACAAATAATAACACCTAAAAAATAATTAAAGTGCAGGAGGAAGTGGAATCGCCATCTGATATTTTTAAGGAAGGTGGCGAATGATTGAAGGAAAGGATATTTCACTTGACATTAATTATTTTGCACAGGGAAGAAATGCCGAAACAACGAAATATCTCTATTATTTGTCCTATGTATGAAAAAGGAGACAAAACGGAGTGCGAAAACTATAGAGGTATAGCACTAGTAGAAGTAGTCTATATAATTAACAGAGAGGATAATAAAATATAATAACAACGTGATTGGAGAATACCATGAAAGTTATAGACCAGAAAGAACAACTTCTGATCAAATAAGCATGTTAAAATTAATATAAAATATTGCTACGTACAAAACTTGGGATTGCATATGCTATTTATCGATTTTAAACCAGCATATGACTCCCTAAATCGAACCATGCTATATGGGGCCATGAGAATATTAGAAATACCAGAAAAGCTTATTAGGCTAGTGAGAATGACGCTTAAGAACACGATGAATAGGGTAACAATGAAAGGAAGTGTTTCAAGATAGTTCACCGTAAAAAGTGGTTTAAAACAAGGTCAACGAATTTATTCAACCTAGAATTAGTACAAATCGCATAGGTAATGGATTTTGACAAGAGCTATGATCTTGTAAATAACAGGCAAACTTGTGTACTGACTCATAGCTCTTCTAAAAATCCAATACCTCTAAGAAGATCAAATATTATCAAACACAGGACTATTTTCTATAGAAGGAAATAGTGCAGAGCGTACGCGGATGATGTGGATGATTTAGAAAAAGTTTTCAAAACATTTGAAGAAGAAATGAAAGATACGGATTAATAATAAAAAAAAAACAAAAAAGCAATATATGAAAATAAGAGGAGACATAACAAATATTAACAAATATATCAAAATGAAAGGTGCAGAGACTGTCTATAGTTTTGAAAAAGTGTTAGAATTTGAATACTTAGGAGTAACCATAACGAACACGGGAAAAGAAGAAAAAGAAATAGACAAAAGATTAATTAATCTTTTTTGTGACTATTTATAATAATACCGTACCGATAATTAAGAAAACAGGGGAACCAGTTTATTTTACTAGTATTGTTATTAAAAGTAAGGTAATTGTTTATGAACTTGTCTACAGGTGGATGTTTTCAAAAGTTGACTCGTTCTAAAACGTATTTAAAAAAGCTTTATATTTCAATACTCTTCCAGTTTAAATCAAAATGTTCTTCTATAAGTTTTCGAGCATCAACTACTTTTTCTTGTTTTACTTGTAAACTATATTTAAGTATTATACCAGGGCAAAACTGTTCCATATTTCAATTCTTTTTTGTGGCTATTTATAATATCGTGGCTGGCAGATTGGATAGACTGCCGCCAGAATTGGACAAACAGTTGCCGATATTTGATAAACGAATTCACAAGAAGAAGAAGAAGAAGAAGAAGAAGAAGAACAAGAAGAAGAAGTAAAAGAAAAAGCAGAAGAAAAGATAGATAAAAATATTATTCTTCTTTACTTATTTTATGCTTCTTTTATGTTCTTTTAATTGTTCTTTGTCGTTCCTTTATTTAGAAGATACCTTTTTGTCCTTTGGGTATTTAAATTTTCCATTTCCTGTATTTTTATTGTATAATATATACTCTATCTTTTCAATTGGGACCAAATAAATAAAAAAATCTAGATCGATCAAAGAAAAATTTGTCTAATCACGTCTAGATTCAAACCTTGCGCCTAAAAACATATATTACCTTGCCCACAAACTCTTATATTTTTAGGTATTATTGCAGCTGCTAAAGATCTTCAGTTGCACACTCCTATAATATGTAGATTGCAAGGTACCAATGTCGATGATGCCAAAATTTTGATAGCCAAATCCGGATTAAAGATTTTACCAGTTAACGACATTGACGAAGCTGCCAAATTGGCTGTTAAGCTATCCAATATCGTAAGCCTAGCGAAAGAATCCCATCTAGAAGTCAACTTTGAAATGCCTCTGTGATTGGTACCATTTTGATTATTTTTCACTAACATAATTTGTTTTAATCTCGAAAAGTTTGTTTATATTTTTATTTTTTGGCGAAGCATTTATTAAGACTATCTCTAAAATTTACCAAAGTTTAGTAGTTTTGACTTAGTTTTGGCTTATCTAGAATAATTTTCAGTTATTCTACGTGATTCTTTGGCAGATTCAATTAGAACTCTTTAGTTAATTAACTGGATATTCCAAAGAGCCTTCCGGTTCCCAGTCTTCATTCACGTCTATTAGTCCATTCTCCTAATCGTAGATATATTATTTCCATTTATCTTTTAAAAAGTTTTTTCAGCATTTTTTAAGAAGTTTAGCTGATAATCCTGATCCATCTCTCTCTCCCTCTCTCTCTCTTTCTCTCCTCTTTCTCTCTCTCTCTCTCTCTCTTTCGCTCTTTCCCTATTGTCGTTTCTGAGGATCGTGATTGCTTTTAATATTCCTAACCATTTTTCTCTATTAGTCTCTATCTTCAGCTACTTTGTGAGCTTCGTAGAATAAGTTTCCAGCTATTCCTAATTTGGTCGGACTATCTATTTGGTGATCGTCCTCTTGACATCCTACCCGAAACGTTTCCAAAAACAATTAATCTCTTCAAAGTATCGTCACCCCTACGAACAACATGACCGAAAAATTGCAGAATACATTGCAGACATTTTGTGGAGAGCTTTATTTTAATCTTGAGTTGGTTTAGAATGGAAATGTTTGTCCTATTAGTTGTCCAAGGTATGCACAGCATTCTTCTCCAACACCACATCTCAAATGCATCCAAGGAGTCCAAGTGTCTGCCCCGTACAAAAATATTGAGAATGCAAGGGCAGTCACCAGTCTCATCTTGATATATATTTTGAGAATTAGATATTTCCAAACTTTAGTTAGGCGACTCATCACATTTTTTGCCATACCAATACGTCTTCGAACTTTTGCTTCACAGTTACCATCGTTAGTTTTACTAGACCCGAGATAAATAAAACTGTCCACTATCTGGTATTCCTTTAACATGTTAGTCAGTTGAATAGTGTGAAATCTGTCGACCACCATTATTTTTGTCTTAGATTTATTGATGTTCAGGCCAAATTTATTACTTTCGTACTCAACTCTTCACAGGAGAATAAACAGTTCTTGCTCATCTGCTGATATAAGTCTAGTATCATCAGCAAATCTTAAATTGGAAAGTTTTTTATTTATGCCACTACCGATAGTAATTCTGGGCACATGGATATGATATCGTCTAGCTCTTTATTGGAGATATTTAGGTCTTGACTCTTGTAGATCTTTTGCGTAGTGATTTTTAAATGCGCTGACGTTTATGGTTTGTAGGTTTGTTGTATGTATGTCCCCTCTTCTTAGATTTTGTACGAATCTCTAAACCTCCGAAGACTTAATTTGACCTAAATATGGTTTCACTTCCTCACATTTCCATTTACATGTTTGCTTTGACTCCCAAAGAATCACCCAGTATATTCCTGGAACAATAACAAAAATCGTTTTCTCTGCCATTAAAAAATATAGGAATTTATTTTTTTAAAGATAGACACAATTTTTTTTGTAATGCACATACGTCATTTTTTTTAACAAATGAAGTATTTTTCTCTAATCTTTTGATATAAAAATCGATATGTTGTGTTATAGATTTGATACGACCTTGTAAAGATTGTAGTATATAGAATTTATAAAATTTTTACATTAGCTCTAGTCTCATGTGAAAGATTTTCTTAGTATTAATATTCCTTATCACTGTACTAAAATGATGTATTTTTTCTATGAACAAAATAATAAATCTGCAGTTTTTCCTCCAAAATTACTTTTAATAATATTTACTAAGTTATATAAAACAAAGTTATTAGTGGTATTAGTGAAAAATAATTTGATAAAGATACTTAATATATATTTGTAGATATTAAAATATATATATATATATATATATATATATATATATATATATATATATATATATATATATATATATATTTATATAGTATTTGCGCAAATTATAGTAATTATATTATATTGTATCGTTAACTCATAAACTATTTATTTGTAACTTTTATTATTTGTACAATTGCTTCCTGAAATTCCTTCCAATTGCTGCCGCTATATCTCCGAAAAAATAATATATCAAAATGGACTACCAAAAATTACATGTCATAGCTATCTATAACAGGGGTGTCCAACATGAAATTGCCACAAGGGCCAAAACTAAAACCTTTGATGTTGTCGCGGGCCATATAATAATTTTGTTACAAGTAATAACAAAATAAAGTGAGGTATAAAAATAATTAAAAAAAAGAGTCTTATTTCTTCTGTTGCTTAACAACTACATTTTTTTATAAACGGAAAATTTATTGATAACACTTTTGAATAATTAAGACAAACATTGCAAAAGCAACGAAAAAGATGTATCCAATTAGTGTGAGGACTGTGGTCGATCGGCTTCATCCACCAATGAAGAAAGGTCCACCTCCAGTTCAGTTGTAGACACTCTCATAGGATGACGTAAAAAAGAATCGGTAAGGTTGCTTCTGTTTTTATTTTTTATGTATTTCATGGAGGAAAAGGCACTTTCACATATATATGTGATTTCGAACATTGACATCATTTTCAGTCCAAAATTTCGCAGGTTTGGGAATTTCTCCTTTGACAGTAAAATGGTTCCTTTTCTTGCCTGGTGATTAGGAACAGTCTGCTTGAAGATCACATAACTCAAGCTGTAAGTTGGGTGATTGATCATCAATGGTTGCTCCAAGAGGGTTATTATAAAGTAGTACACTGTTTTTGAGACTTTCAATTTCTTCAACTCTTGTATTGAATTCATCAATAACTTGTTCAATTTATAAAATGCAGGATGAAAACTCAATATTTTCCTCACCGTTAAATTCTTCTTCTATTTTCAGACAGCTAGGGAAGTGTGTCAGGTTGTTCTTTTTCAAAGCACGTTTAAAACACGTTCAGCTTATTCCGGAATCCGTTTATTATTCCGATCAAATCTGGAACCATCTGGTTTCTTCCTTAAAGACTCAAGTTTAACATGTTAAGATGATTAGTCAGATCTGTTATAAAAGCTAACTGTCTTAAGAATTCTGGATCCTTAAATTCTCTTCCAGTTCAGTGTGTCAGATGAAACGTATTTGTCGAGGAAAGCAAGGATTTCCTTTCTTGTGGCAAAAAATCGTTCCATGCACTTTCCTGCACTCAGCCACCTTACATGGTTGTAAATTAGCAAGTCTCCATACTTTTTGGAGGTATGGTGATGGTAAGCAGTGGGGGGTGTAACCTGCGTGAACTGTGATGCGCAGTAATCAGTGCAGTTCTCATAGTGGTGGAGGGCGATTGCGTTCGTTACACGTCCGCGGGGCGGCACGCGGTACAGTACTTGTGATGTAAAAACACTGCTAAACCATAAAATATAAAATAAATTAGAAAATCTTTTTTCACAGTGGCAGCATTTAAAGAAAATATATGCTTTTCGAAAATCTTACGTGGGTCACAACAAATAGCCTCGCGGGCCGGATGCGGCCCGCGAGCCGCCAGTTGGACAACCCTGATCTATAGCTCCGAGAACTGCAAACCCAAGGAGAAACGAAAGGCATTCTTCGAACAATTACAAACCATCCAGGACGAAATAGCTCATGAAGAACCCTTAATTTTTATAGGTGACAAAATAAAAATCAAAATAACACCAAAAAATTTTTTACGGGAAATCACCTAGGGAAAATTCAATGTTGATTCACTGTAAAACGACTCTACAAGAGAAATGTACCAAAGGAGGCTAGCACAGAAGACACAGCTGAAGCAAATAGACGACATCGAAGATATAAACGCGAGCTGGGAGAAAATTAAAAACAACATGGAAGAAGCAGCAACAGAAACTTTAGGAAAATGCAAAGTCACACTAAACAAAAGAAACAACAACAATACACCTTAGTTCAGAAAAAAATAAAAGAGAAATGTAAAGAGAAACGACAGGCCTGCACAAAGTTCAAAACGTCAAATAATCCAGAATCCTGAGACACCTATAAAAGAATACTAAATGAAACAAAGCAGTTGGTAAGAAGAATCGAAAATCTCTACGTTACACAAAAACAAATATGGAGATTCCTAAGAAACCAATGAAAAGAAATGGCAGAATTAAAGGAATACAATAACATACCAGCAAAGGAATGGGAAAGATACCTGACGGAACTGTTTAAAGTAAATATCAATAATAAACAACACAATAACGTACCTGCATTAAGACACGAAATAGAAATTCGTTTTCAGGAAGTAAAGACAGCCACAAATTCACTTAAAAATAGAAAGTTACTAGGACCATACGGAATAACCGACGAGCTTCTAAAACACATAGAAAGTATAACCCTAGACATAACAAAACTTATACAAAAACTAATATTGCACTGCAATATACTAGACGCATGGAGAAACAGCATAATGATACCAATGTTCAAAAAAGGAGATAAAGAAGAGAAGACCCCAACAATTACAGAGGTATAAATCTACTAAACATCACACTTAAGCTTACCACAAAACTCCTAACCAACAAAATCAATAAACAAACAACTTTATCAGATGAACAACAAGGATTCAGATCCAAAAGATCCTGCGTAGACGCCGTATTTGTACTAAAATAAATCAGAGAAAAGACCATCGAGTACAATAAACTTGGCCTCTCTATTGTATGATATATTTCGGTGAAGCTAAGTACAGTCCAACTAACCTTCAGCATCTGTGCGCCGGATGAGCGCCAGACACCACTGCTATACGCTGCAAGGCATAGCAACCAGCCACAAGTGCTGTTTCTTTTTCCAAATCACCCAAATACATTTCTTTAATAACAATCTTTATATTCTTCCATATAATCAAATACATTTTTTCAATAAAACTCTCTATTTCCTCCCATATAATCAAAACCATCTTACAGATGTATGAGCGCCAATGAGCGCAAAAAAAACGTACCTTTTAAATAAAATGCCACTGAACAAAAAGCTTGAGGTAACATGAGATCCTTTTCCGGCCAGTAGATGACATGGAGTGTAAAGGAACAAAGGAGATGACCGTACTCTTCACCATAGATGAATTGGTTGAGGCATAAGATGTAGTCAAGACACGTAGGTCCTCCTGACTTGAACAGATACCGACCAAAGCTGTAAAAGGTCTAGGACGTGTGGAACCTGTGTAGCTTTTAAAGCACATAAATATATTGCTTGAAGCACAAACGTTTCGTATGAGGTTTGAAGGACATTAAGGTACGTACTGCTTCCCAAAACTTCGCTAAAAATGTCACCCCATATACCTCCTTCCATGCATTGGAAAATTGTATGGCTGGATGCTAAGAAGATGAATCGGCGACACGATTGACAGATTAGGAGGCATGTCACCGAGACAATTCGGATTCTGCAAAGGAAAGAGTGCAATTTATGCAATTTTGTGTGTAATCGAGCTATTGCACAACATCGAAATCGAACAGTTCTGGGCGGCTCTGCAGCACTTATATATTATAAATGCATTCAAAACTTTGCACGGGTAAGAGGTGATTCGAAATATTTTTCCAAGAGCCAGATCATAGTTGAGAAGGGCACGCTCGTTTACGTAACGGAAGAACTTACACATTGATCGGTCTTGGGTCCGAATCTATGGAAACTGACGTATAACGGGGTCATACACTGCGAATATACAGAAGGTATAACCCCCTTAGAACTTTGAACTAAAGTACACCAATTAATGAAAGAAGCCTGGGAACAAGAAATAATGCCAAAAGAATGGAATGGCTGTATTATCGTGCCAATACATAAAAAAGGCAGAAAGGATACATGTGGCAACTACAGGGGAATCTCACTAATCGGTACTACATATAAGATATTAGCTTCAGTTGTACTAAAACGATTACTGCCATATACAGAGGAAATTATTGGCGATTACCAATGCGACTTTAGGCCTGGAAGATCAACAATCGACCAAATATTTACTATCAGACAAATGCTAGAAAAGTATTGAGAATATAATAAAGAAGTACACCAGAACTTCATAGATTTCAAACAAGCATATGATTCCATAGATCGCTTAAAACTGTGGAGTGCAATCATGGAGTTAGGCGTACCAAAGAAGCTGACCATGATTGCGCGAATGTGTGTTAACAATTCCTTTGCACAAATTAGAATAGGAGGCTAAACTTCAAAGGCTTTCGGCATAAGCACCGGGCTCAGACAGGGAGACCCGCTGTCTCCATTACTATTTAACCTAGCATTGGAATACGCAATGCGAAAAATCTATACCAGAGTCCAACCAGACAACTGCCAGAGGAGCAAAGATTATTTTCGCCTTTGCAGATGATGTAGATGCAGTAGCACAGACAACACTGGAAGTTAAGGATATAGTATCGAACTTTGAAGAAGCAACACTAAGCGTTGGCCTGAAAATAAACGAAGAAAAAACTAAATACATGGTCGTATTAAAAAAGGAACGACAGCGAATAAGACAAAACATTACCATAAACGATCATAATTTTGAGGTGGTCAAAGAATTCAAATACCTAGGAGCAACAATTACCAGTGAAAACACAGGAGAACGGGAGGTTGAAATACGAATACTGGCGGGGAATAAATCATTCTTTGCCATTCAACATCTATTGAGGTCAAAGCTTCTCTCAAGGCGTGCCAAAATCCAAATGTACAAAACCATAATACGACCAGCAGTGACATATGGAAGTAAAACATGGACATTGAGAAAGATAGAAATCAATAAGCTATTAGTATGGGAACGCAAAATCCTGCGAATTATATATGGTCC